AAAGGTTGAAATTTGAAAACCAAATCAATTTTATGTGATTACATCCCTGATTTCTGGAAATTGGAGGCTGATTTATAGCATAGAAGTTGGAAACTCTTAATTGTTTCCAACGTCAGAGCGAGAACGAAGGCAGATAGGGATATTAAGAGGTAGAAAAGGTGTTTTTGGAACTTCACATAGAAACTTTGAGCGGGAAAATTCACTGGGAAGGGGCTCAGAAAATGCCACCTGACATAAAGGTACTGTTCTATTAGAATAGGGGATATTCAGGTTCATTTGAGACCATGCTAATTTTGTTAGACCGTGAGACCAAATCTAAAAATAATTTTAAAATGCAAAATAAAAGGAAAAATCCGAAAAAAAAAAATTTTTAATTATTATTTTCGTCACTTTAATTACCTAAAAAAATAAAAAAAAATTATCGTAGTATTTGGCTTGACCAAGCACACAAGTAGCAAACGGGTTTTTCCTTCGGGGTTAGGTATTACTACGAGACTACCTACGCCTATACGATTATGATACATTCCTTTGATATGATGATATACGATTACGATAAGATTATGCATGAAATACAATCGATGTCACACAAACGAATGAAATGTGAATGGATGATACAAAATTGAATGATTGAATTTTATGTGAAAGGTGATTGATTATTGATTGTGAATGGATGATACAAAATTGAATGATTGAATTTTATGTGAAAGGTGATTGATTATTGATTGATATGTGAATTTTGTTTATATGATTATAATTTGAATGATTGACCCGTTAGGGGATGGTATGTTTTCCCTTTGATTGTGTACAAACTCCTATTGCCTCACGAAGCTTTTGCTGACACTTGTTTCTTGCTTTGTGCCTTTATGATTGGTACAGGTAGCTTAGAAGCTTGGCTTGGTGAGATGGGGTCATTTTTGGGTAGTTTATCCTTAGAATAAAGATGTCACTTGGAAACGTTATTTAATTTTTGATACTTATGCTTCCGCTACAATTAAATACTCTTGATATTTTGGTTTTGAATTGAACGTAACGTTGTGGATTGAAATGTTTTTGAAATAAACAATATTTACAGTCTTCCGTTGCATTTTCCGTTAAAAGATTTTAAAAATAAATGAAAATTTTGGGTGAAAAATTATGACGTTACACAAAAGTCAAAAAGTCAACAAGTCAACTCAGACTGAGTAAGCTTGTCGTACTCAGCTAATACCCCCAACGTAGTGCACTTCTCTCGGCCAGAAAACGGGGTCTCAACCAGGTACGCACATCGTACCTTCATGTACGCCCAACTTACTCGGCTGCCACTTTCTCCTTTCTATTAAGTGCTTAATCTATTAAGACACTTCGTACAAAAACAGATCTAGTTCCAAATGACGTTCTAAGTCATAAAGTTTCCAACTTTATAACTTTCCAAGGCTAGAAAGGGACCAACAACTAAACCCTAACTTATTACACAAACCAAAACCTCATATCTCATGCATGAAGAAAGGGAAGGGACCAAGATCACATTTTTATGACTCCTAATAGCTCCATAACGGATAAAGTTTCTAACTTTATCCATTAGGATGGTCCAAACAACCAAAATCTAGTCTTTAAGTCTCAAAGGGACCAAAAATGCATCTTTCTCAACTTAATCCATTAAGTTCAAGTCTCCAACATTCATATCTGAATCAAAATGATGTTTAGATGGATAAAGTTTCAAACTTCATCAATAACAAAGTAATAAACTTTCAAGATCTAAACTTTATTCAATAAAGTGACTAAAGAGCTCATAAAACCCAGAACAAGCTAGATCTAACAAAATTCATCATCAATATTCAAGCTTTATATCTTATGGAGTTGAGAAAAGCAATGTAGGCTCTAGATCTACAACATTGAGCTTCAACAGTCAACAAGCTTGAACTTCTCTTTCATCCAAAATGCACTTAAAACACATAGAAAGCCTCAATATTTGATCTAAGGGGCTAGGGTTTTGAGTTGGAAGCTCAAGAGGGTGGAGGCTGATGTTAACTTAGCTTAGAAAATGAGGTTTTGGATCTAAATTATTAACATTTTTGGTTTTTAAGCTTGAGGTAAGAAGTTAAAAATGTTATCGAATATAATTTATACAACCTTAAAAATGACGTTTGACTTGGAGAATGAAATTTTTTACATATTGTTTTTTTTTTTTTTTGAATCGGAAAATACAAATATATAATCAACTCCTAAAGTAACACCTAATTCCACCTATATCTACGACGAGATTTGAACCCTCGACCTCAAAAAAGGAAGATACCATCTGATACCGCTGGACTAGAAGCCCTTTGGTTTTTTACATATTAGTTATTATAAAATTTTGGTTTCCTTTAAACAAGACCTAGGTATCCTTAACAACAATAATTTTGAGTTTCTTTTTTTTTAATTCACTAAACTAGTAAGATAAAGAACACCTTCATTTGTTTCTTTCTTTTTTTTTTTTTTTGTAAATTCGAAGAAAAAATCGTTATATTTAAAAATATATATATCAAAATTATAGTGTAATATTAAAACGACCTTATATTTCAACATTTCTTTCCGAAAAGTTTATAATATACAACATAACAAATCTTTAAAAATATTTTAGTTTGGAGAAGGAAATTTTCACTTTTTCTTTTTTATAAAAATATTAATTTCTTTAAACAAAACATAAGGAACCCCTAACAATAATATTTGTTTATTTTTTTACAAACTCGTTAAAATAGTAAGATGAAGAACTATTTTATTTGCTATTGAATTTGTAGAAAACAATTTCGGTACATTGTATAAAAATTAATATTTCTTAAAATTAAAGTGTAATAGCAAAATGAACTTATATATTTTTTTTCAAAAAGTTCAAAATATATGATATATAAAAAACCTGTAAATTTTTTTTATTTGAGTAACAAAAAATTTTTAACATCTAAATTTTAGACAAAATTGCAAAAATGGTCCCTGTAGTTGACAATTTTATGTGCTTTTGGTCCAAACGAAATGTTTGTGCACCACTCGTCTAAAATTGAATATTTCTATTGTTTTTGTTCCCTATCTACTTAAAAAGACCATTATGCCCATATAATTTGTTTTTCCATTTTTTTATTATCTGTTTTTATTCAAAATAAAAGAAAAACCCACCATCATCCCGTTCACTCTCCCTTACACACAGTCACACATCTCTCTCTCTCTCTCTCTCTCTCTCTCTCTAAATCTTCATCTGGGTTCTTTAACTTCGTCTTCTTAAACACACACACAAAATTATGAAGATACATACTCAAGAATGACACACATTAGAGGAGGAGTTTTATATATCTGCACTAGGAGTTTTCCGAGTGCCACCATTGTCCGCTATCACCACCTGCAAGCACCTCCATCTCCACCTAGAAATCACCGGAAGCCACCTAGTGATAGGGTTTTAAACCATAGGAGTTTTCCAGATCTGCACTTGGGTTAAGGTTATTCAGACGGTGGCGATGGCAGCGTTTATATCTGAAAAATGAAGATATTGAATCTATCATCAGTTGTTTATCCCTAATCACAGAACTTCACATGAACATCGCCATTTTTCTGGTTTCATCGATTTTAGATTATCAATTCCACTGAAAGGAATATCGATTTTTATTTAAAGTAAGATCAAATTTTGGAAAACTCATGTAAAATTGATAGAGAAGAAATTAATGATTTCTGGTTAAAAACTTATCGTAAAAGTGAAATCAACACCTGGAGCTTAATGAAATTAGGGCTCATAATAAGCCCCCCGTCTCTTGTTTTAATCGGGATAAAGAGGGGATGTACAAAGCAGTCGAACGAGGCGATTTGAAAAGAACATGAGGGCTCGTTGTGTTCATTGTGAGGAAGAAGGGAAACAAGGCAGAGGTCCTTCCGTCGAGAGGGATGAAGCATTTCTTCGTGACCGGTGACCCTTCGTGGATTTTTCTTCCTCGTCTTCGGCAGCGATCTGAGAGACGCAAAGCAGCAGAATCGCTGACCTGAAGAAAGAAGAACGGAGGCGGCATCCAACGATGAAACTCGAAGGGAAGGTGGACAGAAGAATGGTCCGGTGGAACAAGGCAAACATGTGGGGGTTCGATGGAGTTTGCTCGAAAGGAGGAGAAGAGAAGTGCGAGAGATGAGGTTGTTGTCTTGGTGGCTCACCGACGCACCACCACAGCCCATGGTTCATGGCAAATGAAGATTTAGAGATTTAGAAGAGATGTTGGGCGAGAGAGGTGAGAGCCGTACGATAGAATTTTTATTTTTTATAGTTTTAGATTTTTTTTTTTTTTTTTTTATGAGAATATAATATATAGAAATTAAAAAAG